AACTTTTACATTTCTGAAAGTTACGGACTTTTATTTACAGCTGCCAACATAGATGAGGTCTTGCTCCACACCCTCAGTAGGGACGATTTAAGGGACCTGCTTCCAGGGCCTGAAAATTTTATGAGGAGGAAACAGTTGTGGGCTCAAGTTTACAAAGAGGCAAGTTTTGCCGCTTTTGATTTCAAAACACCTAGCACAAGACATTTTGTTTAGGACTCCTGTAATATAACTATTTTTGTTTTCTTATTTAGGATGAAACTAAAGGCGTCTCATCGATATCTCACCATGTGACCAGGGAGAAGATTATGATGCAGATTCAAGTGGTGGATCAAACATGCTTTTGCCACCAAGGAGCAGTTCTGGTGACAACAGTTGTAAGTGAAAGATTACAATTATGGCAATAATATTGAACTGAAAGTTGATTTAGTTCTTTCTTTCCTGTTCTGTTTAAACATAGCCCTGTTCAGGACACTACTAACTTTCTTCCCATCATGAGCTGTACCACCCAAGAAGATGGGACATGCCAGTGAAGCACTGATTCATGTCCTTCAGGTCTGTGTTTCTTCATATTTGTTATCAAATAATGCCCCTAAAGCATTCACTTTAACAGTGTATTTGACATATGACCTTTTTATCGATGCCAAGTCCTCCAACAATGTAGTTTATATTTGGAAAAGTGTGCAGAAATCTGAAATGGCACAAACACTGATAGATCAAAAATGTCAATAAAAATAATAAAAAAAATCATAAAGAAATTAAAAACAGAAATTGTAAATAATTACATATTTAACTATCACAGGTGCAGTATATTTGTCATTTCCTAAAGTGTGTAAAGACATAATCCTAACGGTGATGAGGCAGAATTTATTACATTTTTTCAATGGCATGAATATTTTGGGATTTTCTATACAGTATTTGTCAATCTAAAGAAAAAAAAGATTAATATGGTCTGTAGCGCATCTGATCTATGGTTGTCATCATTCATGTATCACCCCAGGGGTGCACCCCAAAGGAATCAATAAAGTGAAGTCTACTTGTGGTTAAGTATTTGAACTACCCTGATAGCTTTGAAGTTTCTCTGTACATTGTACAATTTTGTCTTTGTTTTTCTTTTGCCAACAGAAGATCCAGCGTCAGCCCCGTTCTGCTCTTTGAAGGGTCCCGCTGTCTTATTGCAGTTGGAACCACTCTCATCACCACATTTGACCACAGATGACCTTGGAGAAGGTTTGCTGTATCTTATGGCATACTACTACACCCTGCATCTCACCTATCCTAAATGTGTGTCAACGCTTCTGTCTGTCATTCAGACTGAAGTGTTAAAGGACAAAATCCATGAGCAAGACACCACAGGCTCATACAAAAAAGTCATGGCAGGCTGTAGGAATTTTTATTGAACGTAGAGCTGTTTGAGCAAGATGTAACTTAGGTCTTGAATTCTTTTTTTTTTTATTATTATTCTTATTAATGTAATACAAAGTACTTTTTCTTTAAACACATCTGTTCTGCAAATTCTGTTTAAAATTGCAAATGCTCTTTTTATTACATTTTATATGTTGAGTAGCTAACTGATTTAGCAGTTCTAAAAGGAACACAAAATAACAATGTTACACTTACGATATGTCTTTAAATTTTTGTGTACTATGATTGACTGAAATATTTGTTACTGTTTGGAGAGTTTGTTTCCAATAAAGGTCATGTACACAGTATACTTTGCCTGACTTTTTTGACTTAACAGAGTTCTTGGAATAGCTAATTCACAACTTGTTTTCAGATATCTCTTACTTGTCTAAAGCCTAGATATTTTTCTTATTTTGAGAATTCTTATCAAGTGTAATTCTCTTAATTTCACTAAATTTAAGAAGATTTAGACTACAATCTATTATTTTTTAACTTATTATAAGATGGGTAATTTTTGCAGTGTATCTTTAAAATGATTTAATGTACTAATTTTTAGATCATTTGCCCTGATTTGTTCCTTAGAATAAGTGTTTTATGCCTATTTTCAGATTTAATTTCTTCAACATTTTGCTTAGAACAAGTGGTTAAAGCTTATTTTAGGTTTCAAT